AGTCAGGTCATTGTATGTCCAAGGGGTGGGAAGATATTGAATTGGATCTTAGGAAATTAGGTTTGAAAAATAAGAACCATATTGTACTCACTCATAATTATGTATAATGGTGGGTTTTGAAGTAAGTGATGGAAAATCTAGTAACCCAATTTGTTTCAGTTAAGATTTTAAAGCATCAGTATGCAATATGACCATATATATTGTAATATATGGTTACTTCGCTTCTCATTAGTTATGATTTAGAAATGGAACTTGATAATACCTAACAGTGAATTGTTTAGCACTGGTCTTTGTATGGAAATGAACAAACTGTGCTATTGTGACTGCATAATTGAATTTTCTTTTCACCAACCTCTTTGCAAGACTTGTACTAACTGTTTATATCGATTTATCATATTTCATCATTCAAAGTTATACCTTAATTTGCATGCTGAGACTTGTATTGGTCCATTTATAACTGTACATAATGATGAATTTCTTTTAGGATCTGGCCAATATGAGTTGAAAGTTAGTAATCTTATTTATTGTTGGAATGCTATCAACATTATTTCCCTTAATGTAATTGTAATTAAGCATATTAGTCTTGTGGCCACTGGCATGAAATGTACATATAATTATTTTTTTGTAAATACATGCGGAGAATAGTTGGTCCAGTCTGGCATTCTGTTTGGACCCAAAACATGATCTCTTATTATCACCACTCTAATGTTGCTTTCTTTTTGTGGATTTTGATATGAGGTGTGGCTTGGTACAAACTCCAAACTTGAACTAAGTTATATTGTCTCTGCTGTGTTGTGTAATTTTATTACATATACTGTGTTTACATATGGAATTATAAAACTTTATTTTAACAAAAACTTCTTGAAAATCTATGTGTGAGTCTACTTGTATTTAACAATATTTTGACACTGTAAATAATTTAGAGACAGTAGTTTTGTGATCAACATTTTCTGCTGGAACATTAAGCTCCTAATTTTGTGTCTTCTCCTTTGTGCATATTTCAGATAGTGTATAAACATCTGATAATTTTGACAAGGAATACAAATATTATGGTGTTTAGTTACAGCAGTCTAAAATAATGGCATATATTTTATCATGTTGGTAATACTTGAAGGGAAGGAATGTTGTCATTTATGAAATACCCCATGAGAATATAAATTTAATTTTTTATGGTGACAACAGTCAGTGCAAAAAGGGCTGAAGTGTTTCTGAAAGACTAGAAGTTACAAGTTTAATATTTGCCCTTTATTATCTTCCAATAAAATTGGCTTGTTACTTCTAAAAGCATGGTGAACTGAACACAATTTAAAACTGGGTTTGAATTTTTAACCCTCCAGCCACTGCATTACAATACACAGATTACAAATTTACATTGTACAAGCTTAAAACACAATTTCAAATTTAAATGTTGTGTCATGTTTGAGATAAAATGCAACATATGATATTAAATCCAAGGTTGCCTGTTAATTCTTGGAACTTAAGGGTATAGTACTTGAATTTGAGGAAATATATTTAAAATCTATTTCCATAACATTTCAGAAAAGATATTAACCCAATATACCATACCATATCAGCATGTTTTATGCTGTGTCTTTACCAAAAATAATCTTATCAGGTATAGTTAACAAATGCCTTTAAAAGATTTAGTACTGGTAAATACATAATTATTTTGTGATTATGAATAAAAACATACAATCAGTGTCCAGACCTTTTTCTGTGGTGGTAACAATGGTGTCTCATACCAGCACTTTTTGTCACAAAATTCAAAATAATAATAAAGTTATTGAATAATGGAGGTTGAAGTAAGGATACACCTTTTTATTGCAATTTACTAATTTCAGTCAATTTTTGATTCATTAGCTATATGAAATATCCACCGCACCTCACTGATCATATCTAAATATGAACATATTTCTTTGTCACAGAGAGTCCTAAAATAAACATGAACATGTGTAACTACAGCTTTCAGGGGTGAGTGACCAGAATGTTGAGTATTATACAATCTGTTAGCATACATTGCATATACCTTCTTCAGGGTGATGATGGCAGCTGCAGTGTGTACCAAAACGTTTAATAACACCCAACATTTGACGCAGCTTATACCCAGAAGCCAAAGTTACTCATCGAACTCCAGCCTCAGGAACCTAATGACAAGAAACGTAAAAATATTGTAACATCTGATGGCTCATTATAGTGTAATAGTTACATCTGTAGGAGGGGCCCAGTTTGAATCTTATTTAGGATATGGTATCCTGACTGATGAATTGCCACCTTCTGCCCTTGTATATTCTTCGAAATAAGCAAGTTATTTTTTATGCGATACCCTCGTTTTATTTATAATTATATATCATTTTAATCTGACTGAAGTATGTGAAACAACTTTCTTAAATAGCTAAAGAATCAAGTCTGATGAATGATCTATTTAAGGTTTAGTAACTCCAGTATTGATCTCATTGCAAGTGAAACAGAAGGATTGTATAATTGTTTAAAATTTTTACATAGGGGAATGATTTCACTTGTAATTGATAGTCCAGCAATTTTGGTTGCACTGAATGTGGAACAAAGGTTTTGGCCTGTGAAATAAGACATCATTATACTTTATATGCTCATTTAAAGAAAACTGTAAGTGTGAATGATTTTGTGTTACGTTAGTGTATATACCTCTCTAGAGAATTTACCAGACAAAATTACTGTTGCCATTGTCACATAATATAGGATGTCTGCAAAAAGCAGAAGGTTAACTGACTGAAATTGTATATGTGCTGTGTAAGTGTCTAAAGCAAGTCTTATCATAATTTTTAAATAAATTTTTGATACTATGTTTCTTTACTTTACGTGCTCATGTTCTTTAACATAATATGTATTTCAATAGGCCTGCCTGATCCTCCAGTAGACATTCAAGTAGAGGCAGGTCCACAGGATGGGACTCTGCTGGTCACATGGCTGCCTGTTGGAATAAATGCATCCACCAATGGAGCACCAGTGACAGGATATGCTGTCTATGCCGATGGAAAGAAAGTCACAGATGTTGACAGTCCAACAGGTATGATTTTATTATAGAGAAATCAGAAATAAGAAGCTGAACAGTTACTGTGTCAAGATGGCTGTCTTCTGTGTTGTAACACTGTATAGACTGGTAGAATTTTACCATTGTTTCATCAGGGTGGTAAACTTATACAAGTCTACATATTTGTCACAATAAGAACCTGAATTCCTACTTAGTTACTATGTCCTTTACCTGACTCAACAAATCACATGTTAATGGTAGTGTATGTCAAATTTATTGGCAATTCCTTATCTTGTTTTTTAATACTGCCTTGCAATATAGTTGGAAGCATTGAAGTTCTTCTTTTATTTGACTCTTTCTTCATCTGAAAATCTGGCAGTAAAAAATTTACTTTTATTAATTCACTTGGTAGTTATTATTTAAGGAGGAAGATCACAGTGCCTAGAAGCAATAGAAATACAGTGCATTTTATTCTGATTTTATCTTCTTACTTTGAGAATAAAATTTGAACTGAAGAAGCACAAAAACAGTATTCTTTTAGTAAATTAACCATTTAAAATTTTGGTGTGATATATGTCAGGAACCAGGACAACTCAGTCATTACAGTAATTAGACAGTGACTGGATGACTGAGGTTCGGTTTTTAGTAGGGCAGGATTTCTTTCTTTGCCATAATATTAAGACCATCTGTGGTGTATATCTCACCTCCTGTCTGGTAAGTACCAGGGATCTTTCCTTAGATGTAAAGCAGAATGTGTAACGAACCACTTTCCTCCAACCTGTGCTGACATAAAGAATGAATGGAGGTATACCTCCATTTCCTCATGTTTACATGACAGAGGAGGATGTGAATTCTGAACCATTTCCATATTATAAATGAGATAAAGCTCCCTACTCTCATGGGGGAGTGTGCTCATGTTATGGAAAGTATTGACAACTTCTGTATGAAGTTGTTCCATGCTATTATTATGTCTTATCGCAGTAAGCATAAAATTATCATTTATTTTCAAGTGGATATTTTATAATTATGGCTTGGTTACTTACCTTAATTCCGTTTTACCTTCAGTTAGTACTCAAGGACAAACAGATTCAGTATACTTTGATGTTACTAAAGCATTTGACTTAGTCCCTCATAATATTCTTCTTGGGAAACTTAGAAACTTTGGACTATCACCTAGTTATGTTGATTGGTTCCATAGTTATCTTTCTGACAGGCAATCCATTGTTCGTGTATCAGGAATGCTTTCGTATCCTTATCGTGTAAAGTGTGGAGTGCCTCAGGGTTCCACCCTAGGCCCCTTACTTTTTAATATATTTATTAATGACATCTGCGACTCCATACATAATTCACAGTGCCTTTTATTTGCTGATGACTTAAAGATATATCGGAGTATTAGCGATGTTGATGACTGCAAACTGTTGCAGGACGACATCCATTCAGTGCAAAATTGGTGTCTTGTGAATGGGATGCAACTTAATTTAAGTAAAACCGACTGTTATATCATTCACCCGGAAGACAAACAGTATTTACTTTAATTACAAATTGTGTAACAACCAGGTGGCACGCTCCCATTGTGTTAAAGATCTCGGTGTTCTA